TCATGTTTTCATCTATGTAAATGCAGGTGTCTAAAAATGTTACTGATGTTGTGGATTTTTCATAGTCAAACTTAATTGAGTCGTGCACTGTGTTTAGGGTCATAAGGAATTGGGTAAGTTTGTCATCACTACCCGTGTATACAAAGAATATATCATCGATATATCTTGTATAGAATACGCAGTCGCTATCAATGATTGGATAGATATGGGTCTCCTCAAATTTTCCCATGAATATTGAAGCATATGATAGAGCTGCAATGGAGCCCATGGCACAACCTCTTATTTGAAGGTAGTGTGTTCCATTGAAGTTGAAAGTATTCAATGTAAGGACATGCTCCATGAGTTTTATGATGACTTCTGTGGGGGTCTTGTTTTCTTCGTTTAGTAAGTGCTTCCTGAAGGGCGGTTAGCCCTTCGACGTGTTTAATGTTTGAATAGAGTGACCTAACGTCCATAGTCACTAGAATAGAATTCTCTGGAACTGTTTGTATGTGATTAATTTTGTTCAGTTGATCTGTTGTGTCTCTGATGTAGGATTTTACTTCCTTAGCTAGCGGTTGTATGTAATGGTCTATGTATTTGGAAATTTTTGTCGTGTGGCAGTGGAACGATGGAATAACCGGCCTTCCTAGATTGTTGCTTTTGTGTATTTTAGGAAGGAGATAGAAATGAGCAGGTGTAATGTTTGTGGGTGTAAGTGCTGTGCATGATTCCTTGTCGATTAGATTGTTGCAAAGCATTATGTTTAGTGAGCTAGTTAATTCTTTTTTTGGTATTCGGGAAGGGGATCTGTAGGTATGCTTTTATAGGTTTCTTTGTCGGCGAGCTGTTTGTTGGCATCTTTATATATATATATATATATATATATATATATATATATATATATATATATAAATATAATAAAGTTAATTGGTAATCCTTATCGATAATTCCAGGGAGGATATAAATCCCGAGAGCTCAATGTAATAAACAGAGCAAGTAATAATTAACAAATCGGAAACTTCAGAAACTTTAAAATCCATGGTAATATTTTATTACGCAAAATCGATAATTCGATTTCGCTTTGTCAGATCTAGCAGTTTCAAAACAATGAATGAAGTTTCTTTCTGGAGTCTCCGATTTCCGATTTGTTAATTATATATATATATATATATATATATGTGTGTGTGTGTGTGTGTGTGTGTGTGTGTGTGTGTGTGTGTGTGTGCGTGCGTGTGTGCGCGTAACCCCACCCCCAAATTGTAGGAAAATGCAGTAGATTTAAGTAATATCAATAAAACTCAGACTCCAAATTTAAACTTCCACGTTAGTATTTATTAACCAATCAGCAACGTTATCGCCATCAAAGCTTTCAAATTTCAGACAATCACGTGTTGTCTGCTACGAAATATGAGAGATTACTCCAGAAAAATGATTACCACGTTTTTCCCTCCTAAAATAGATGTTACAAAATTGGGAAATATATTTATTAATCGACAAACTTCTGAGTTTAGTAAATCTAACTTTTAGATCACTATATTTTTCCTTACAAATAACGTCGCGTAATATTCGCATTAGTAAATAAAACGCTCATTGCTGACTGTTGGAAAATTACAGGCATACATAAAACAACGCGGATACGTGATTCGCGAGTTATGTAGTCGCATACAGCTTTTCAGTTATACTAAAGCAATTCTTTTCTGTTGCGTTCTAAAAAAAGAAAAAAAGAAAAATATTTCTGTCGAACATTTTTCTTCTTCGTTTCTTTCAACTTGAAATAAAACAAATTTTACTTTTATACTCAATAATAAAAAAAATATTTCAATATTTTAATTCTCCGTTTTCGTACGCTTTTCTGATATATATATATATATATATATATATATATATATATATATATATATATATATCACACATATACTGCTGGTGTTAAAAATAAGACAGTGCTCTATGTAATAAGATAGAGAAATTAAGTATATATAAATAAATATGAATATTATCCCTCACTAATAGATAATGTAAATAATTACAATACCTCATCTCAGATATATATATATCTATAATATATATATATATATATGTGTGTGTGTGTGTGTGTGTGTGTGTGTGTGTGTGTGTGTGTGACAGACAGACAGAGCAAGAGGGGGATAGCAGGAGAAGAGGTAGAGAGAAAGAGACTGAAGAAAGTGGATGCACAAAAAATTCACATTATTATGAATGACGCCTTTACGCTTTGAATGGTCATCATTTATCGTTCTTTTGTTGGCCTACATATATATATATATATATATATATATATATATATATATATATATATATATATATATATATATATATATATATATATATATATATATATATATATATATATATATATATATATGTTTTATTTATGGCGTATCCGAACATTTTTACCGTAGGAAAACTCACCTCAGGAACTTTCGCCATAAGAAACTTCGCCGTATAGAATTTTTGCCGTAAGACAATTTCGCCTCATTTTTTTTTTTTTTTCGATACCCATATCTTTTGGAGTAATGTTCAGTTTAATATGCGAACTACTTTGTTATAAATTATATAGAGATGTCTTTTTTTTGCAATGTCAGACATAATTCTTTGATCAGATATTTTATATTGGTTGTGTGTTCAAGTTGTAAATTTGTTTGAAATAATATATATTGCTTGAGTGAGAATCATTGGCAGACTAATATTATGTTAACAGAAAGTTTAACGTTAAGTCTGAAATATGAAATTACATGACGTATGTTCTGGTGTCAAGTTTTGAGCTCTTCACCGACGAGGATGAACGATGTAGGATTTTGATCCTGTAACTTCGCTTCTTAAAATGTTTAAATCGAGCAAGATATACTTAATAACAAGGTACTTCGCATATTAAAAAAAAAGGCAAAATTGTTTTACGGCAAAAATTTTATACGGCAAAGATTTATACGGCAAAAATGTTTACAGCGAATGTTCCTAGAAACGTTTTATGGAGAGGAGGGTAATTGTGAATTTTTCGCAGTCTGGTTTTGCTTTAATATTTTGGATTACGAAGCTGGGCTGAAAAGTTCATAGGCTGACTATGGAGGAATAATGCGAGAGCTTTGACATTTTGCATATATTAATGTCTGTTCTTCTTATTAGTAACTGTATTACTTATTTCCATATAAACTGACATCTGACTGTTCCAAGAAGACTTCAGAAGTTACTAGTAGCGACTTCTCTTGAAAATGGACAAAATTTGTCATCGTTTTGTTATCAAGTAGCTGCAGAAAAAAAGGCGTTTAGTTGCTAAGGAAATTCATACGGACATAGTTGTTACATTAGAGGATGACGGACCTGTTTTATTAACAGTGCAAAAATGGACAGCTGAATTTTGGAGGGGGAAGGGGGAGTCTTGAAGAATGAATCTCCGATGTAAGGACACCTATATTAAGAAACAGTAAAAGTTAGTTAGAAAGAAAAAAAAAGTACTAAATTGCTACGAATATCATTCCCTCTATATGACAGCGAATGCTAGACAATCTCCTCAAACATGAAGAAAAAACTTGAAGCAACAGAAATGTGATTCTACAGAAGGATGCTGAGGATACTATGGACTGAGCAACGACGAAGTTTTAGAGAAAATGAAAACAAAAATAAATGATACTGAACACCAGGAAGACTGTTGTTGTTTCTAGGGCATATAATGAGGAAAGACTGCTTGGAAAATCTGCTACTCACAGGACAGACTAAAGAGGAAATCAACCCATAAGATACTTAGCGAGCTTGAGTAAATGAATGGTGAAACAGGATTTAGGAGAAATAACAGAAAGACAACTTTTATTTGAGCTACAGTGAACAGGAAGTTGTGAAGAGGCATGATCGCCTACGTCCCGAAGGGACACGTCGCATAAAGAAGAGGAGGAAGGAGACTGAATTTCTATTAAAGGAATAAACAATACTTAACGCCTCCAAAAATAAACTGCTTTCATTAAATAATCACCACAGAGAAACTTTTCTTCCGATCATCATTATGGCTGCTGCTAACCTCCAGGTAAGCAAACCTTTGCACCTTCGTGGGCTCTTGTTTTCCACTGACATGAAGTAGGGCGACTATATTGTATTAATTACTATGCCTACTGCTAGGAAAGTTGGTTTAAAATGTTTCTCCTAATAACCAATCTGTAACATTTATAAATCTTCCGATCGACTGTGCATTGACTACTGGTGCCATATAGAGTCTGGTGTTCCTGCTGTATATCACGTGGTTCTTGATAAAATTCAAAGAAAGATCTATAATGTAATCGATCCTAATCTGGCATCTCGAATTCATTCTATTTCTCACCGACGTCACGTGACTTCATTTTAATGACAACTGTTTGATTTTAAGCGTCCTACAAGATTGACAATTAGGTCTCATTAGTTGACAGTTCAACCAGTTATATGCAACCGTCAGTTCTATTCTAATAGTTTCTTCTCTCGCACTTCCCGGTTGGGGAACTCACTTCTGATTTCTTGCATTCCTGCACCTACGGTCTTCAAAAATTAAAATCGAACCTCAATCGCCATCTTCTGTCTTCCTGAACAGTATTCCTTTTATTGCCGTTTCCAAGTAGTCTACACATTCTCTTTCAATTCCGGTAACCACTTCAGTCCGAGTGGCATCATCGCTTTGCTTAAAAAACTAAACTAAACTAAACTAAGACTATTAGAATTTCTCCGAATAACCTGTTTTGGCGACGATGAAAGGCAAATTCCCACCTGAAAAGTTTGTTTTATGTATTTGAGTTTTACGATTTATCAACTTTTTTGCAGGTTATTAAAGCAAGGCTTTTTTAAGATTGCAGTAATTTTTCGTAGATAATAATGGTTGACTGATACAAGTCACACTAATTAACTCATAGATATAGGGAGAAGATTCGCATTCATACTTTTCCCAATGGGAATTGCGCGTAAGTGAATGAACCCAACTGGAATTCGAACTCGGCTCTTCGATTTCCGATTTCTAGCCTTTATCCATTACACCACTTGCACATACAAGATAACAGCACCTGGTATTCCAAAGCGGTCACCCATCTAGGTACTGACCAGGCCCGACGTTGTTTAACCCTCGGTGATCGTACAAGAATCGATGTTTTAATGTGATATGGCCGTAAGCCTCACCTGAAAAGTCAAGTGTCAAACAATTTATAAAATATAAGTAACTGGAGATATGTCTCTTACAGTTTTTCATGTTCTATGTGCCTTCAGAATGTCGATGATTATGACTCTCCACACCCTTCTATTCTTATTAGTTCTAAGCAATGTTTATCTCTTTAATATCCCTCCCTGTCCAGGTTGTGCCATTCATATGCACAAACAAATAAGGTACATTACTCGATGTTTCTATATAGCCATCTTACATTCAATATGTCCTGTGAGTGTCAAATTCTTCAAACCCTCTTTCCTCATCATGTGTCCGAGAAATTTCACCTGCATCGTTTTGATTTTAAGTACAAGTCTTTTGGTTGGCATTTTCCTTAAAACTTCCTTGTTGTTTTGGTTTGTGGGGGATCTGGATAAGCGGTAGTACCTCTGATGTCAGGCACACTGCACCATTACGTGGACGGGCATCACTAGTTCTCAACCATCTCCTAAATTTCCCATGTGATTCCTCTAAGTTGCCATGCCCTGTTAAACCATTTCGGCTGGTGGGCTAAACTCACGTGAGCTTAACACGGCACCACCGGGCGAAGGATCTCCTCGACGCAGGTCACTGGCCATGGCGAAATTGTTCCTCAGATGAGCTGCACCGGCCACATGTTCGCGATCAAGGCGAGCCAACTAGTTGGAGAACATCGACACCTGGAGAGGGATAGGCTCCGCTAGGTTAAAACGCCTAACACACACCGCATGATGAGGAAACCAAGAAACCATTCGCGGAGACCCAGACTCTGGCATGCATCCACAACAAATGGGGGGAATGAGTGACAGCTTAGCACGTCGCCACCTCAACGACTCCTTCTGTGTTTAGGGGCGAAAGAAGAGAATCATAGGATTAAAGATCAATAAAAAAAAATCTAGTGATATAGTGAGATACATTTGGAGCGCCCTTGATTTGCTTTAATGGAGATTTGGTGTTTCAATTCAGGTTAAACGCAAGAATAAATATATTGTTACGCAAAATAACATATTATCTGGATGGTTTCCTCAAGAAAGTTTCTTGCCTTTAACGCCTGTTCGGATTCAAGCTCACACCAGACCTCAAGTGGAACACATATATCCGATCCATCGCTAAAGACGCTGGAAAAATGGTTGGTTCATTGTACCGCTCCAGTAAGTATCTGACTTCCCTCGATGTGATTTATATGAGCAAAAACGGAGTGTTGAAGCCGTATCGGGCCAGGAGTTGACCTTTTATTGATGACTTCTGATAATGTTCTAAAAGCCTCTACGCGGCTTTGTGGGTGATTAATTATCTTTCACTCTTACAACCCGTTTTCCATCGACGAAACGTCATAGGCTTTTCGCTAGTTTATCGCTAGTTCATGTTAAATGTTCTGACAAGCTACATTTCATGGTTCCACCAGATTTAACCTTCACAGCTAAGAGCTGCCATGATACGTACATTGGGAAGAATCATACGTATCCCCTTTATATTTCATTAGTAATAAAAAAGTTCCACCCAGCTGATTCCAAAGAACTGCTACATTGCGGACCCCCGAGGACGTTTTCTCAATCGTTATAATATAAACCTCTTCAAGTCTAGTGTTAAACCTTTATGTTATGCCTAAAACTCAGAAACTGCTGTTATAAATGGGTCGTCTTTTTTTAACCTTATTGATCCGACTAGACTTTATACTTATTGACCCATACACACACATATATATATACATACTTTGAAACTTTAGAAAAACATTGCCCTCCCAAAATATATGCCTTGAAAGCCTTCGAAGAAAAAACGCTAGAGGACGCTTGTTTCTCGGGATTCATAGCGGAAATATATTCACCAGTAGACATGTTATTCTCTTCTTTATTAATCTATGCCTTTTTGTTTGCTTTCATCCAACCAATATTAGAAAGACTCGTGTATTTTCATTCAGTCTTGTGTTGTGTTGTAATATATGTTATTTTAAATTCTGTTCTCTTTATGTTACTGAACTCTCCCGTCGTTTTTCGACGTATGAGGGTCAAGCAACTCAGTTCCTAGGAACCAACAGCCAGACACCTGCACAGCTGATTTGATTCTAGTGGTGAAGAGCAGAACCAACCACGCTTTTTGAAAAGCCGAATACAGAAACCTGGTGCACTATGTTTTGAACTCTTGTCCTTTACCTAGACCAACTGCCATCCAAGGCTAGAGAACCCAGTCTGTCCTGCTATTTACCCATAGCTGGGGTGGGAGAAGAAGAGAGTTCATACCTTTCGTAAGGGTATTAGCACGTAAGTGAATGTAATGGATTCCACTGGAATTCGAACTCGGCTCTTCGATTCCTCAATCCGAGCCGCTATCCATTACTCCTCCTCTTGATGTAGACTTAATATAGCAACATTTTAATTAAAATTGCCCGAGATCTGACTTAATTTTTGTGACTACCAGTTTTGGTTAACCTGAATAAATTAAGAGAAGAATAATTTTCAGCATTTGTTTTATTTTGCATTGTTTACTTTCGTTTCTTTTGTCACACCGTGACAACTGCACTTCTTAATTGCTCTTTTTACACGCATACAACAATACCATTTATTTATATTTACAAATATTTTTTCTCCTTTTTTTTTACAATTTTATTACAGAAATATATAAAACTTTACACATGAAACAATGGAGGAGAGGATAAACCCAGAAATCAAAACAAAATAAAACAAAACATCCAAGCAAAAGTGAAACTGTGTTAGTAGGGTTCATCTAATCCAGTGGTTTCCAACCGATTTTAGGCCATGCCCAGCTTTGGTATTTCTAAAGTTCTGGTACCCCACTGTAATATTTAATATATACATGTACGCCAATTACACATTTATGTACATACACACAAAATATTTTTATGTATGTATACTGTATATGCATTGTATGTATTAACACGCATTAATATTAACACTCTCACTCAGACTCACTAGAAAACAATTCACTGTTAATAACTTATTCTCGAATTGCCCCCCCCCTTATTCTGTTTGGTATAGTAAGCCGAAGGGTACACATCCTACGCATACCACGCCAAAATATCACCATGCCCCATCGGTAGGGACATGCGACCTGCGTTGGGAATCATTCGTCTAACCACAAAATACACAAATGATAAAAAAAGCATAAGGCTCAATGATAACTGATTCATACATATTAGCGATGAGATATTCCGTTGTTATGGTAACAATAGGTTTTGTGAAATACATTTTTTAACGCTTTGGCGCACGTCATCAGTGATGTTTTTAGGCTCGGATCATTAGAAGTTTTGCGTCTTTCAACATCGTACCCCCTCTCCGCGGTGACTCAGTCGATACTGATCGGATATCGATTTGTGTTCCATTCATCAGCTACAGCTGTTCTCGCCATGCGCGCAACGTACTGCGACTCGTACTCGTCTTGCATTTTATAGTCCAATCAAGAAGTACTTCCGGTTCACAAGCTTATACACTCTTCTGTAACGAAGGAAGCAAAGGTAGTAACTGTTTCGCTCTCGCAGGAAATATGTCGACACTCTCGATTTAATTGGTAAGTAGCGAACTTTTGTTACACACACTGGGATATAAACACACAACTGAATAGCCAATCCTACCAAATTCTAATTCCTTTTATCCTGTTTTCATTCGCGTTAATCATTTAACCCAAAAAAAAGAAGAATTTATCAACACCAAATATGCATTACCAAGACAATTGAATCTCTTTAGTAAGTAATCACTTTAATGATTTAAATACCAGAAGAGCTTTATAACCTAACTTTCTGTCCTTGAGTAACAAGGTGCCTCACAGGTTTCACGTACAATTTCATTTTCAAGTATTTTTCACTCCTCTTTAGACTGTCATAGCTGAAATTCATCTCTCACGTTCCCGACGTCTTATGGGTTGTCTTCTTGTTTTTTCTTTTTTTTTCTTTTCTAATTAATCTCTTTAGCTCAATATAGAAATGATGATCCCGCTTCCTGTTATGACCTCCTGATCCAGTTTTCCTCTCTACTGTTGCCCCGTTTTTAACCCAGTCTGTCCTGCTACTTGCCCATAGCTGGAGGTAGAAGAGGATTCACATCTTTCCCAGGAGTATTAGCACAGTATTAGTGGATGTATTGGATTCGACTGGAATTCGAACTCGGATCTCCGATTCCTTAATCCAAGTCGCTATCCATTACTCCACCGTGCCTCCTCATATATATAATTATCCATATTACCGTATGCACGACGTAATTTTAAAGTGTGAACTGACCGTTACGCCATTTTGAAATATATCTGGTTACCAACATTGTCTTGGTCTAGTTATATATATTATGGTCAGGGACACCTCGGCGTGGTGTAATGGTTAGCAAGCTTGTCTCGCTAGATCAGTTACAACTGAAAAGTGAGTTCGATCCTCCCTAGATGCCCCATATTTTCGGCCTTGTGCCACATCTAAGCAATGCTTGGAATATAACTATATATTATGGTCAGTTTACAGGATTTTTTTTTAATTTGTAAATTATATTTGGCTTTTAAAATAAGCGGGATTTATATATTTGTATGTAAAAAAAAATAAATTAATAGATTATATATACGAGTGGGGATTATTTATATTTTAATTACTTAAAAGTTATATAATTAAAGGGAGATTACTTGTTCTTATTAAACTATGAATATATTCATTTAATAATAAATATATTTAAAATAGAACGTAATTGACATAAAAAATAACAATTAAAAAATGTAAAAATTAATAAAAAATTATAAATTTAAATATTAAACATAGAAAAATTAAAAATAAATGTAGATATAATAATTAAAAACAAATATAAATATAAAAATAAAATTAAAAATCTCATTTTCAATATGTATAGGTCATGTTAATTAGGTATTCTTTGTTATGGTAAACGGTTTTATTCAAGGCTACATCGAAGCCGGCATAACTCTTGTCATCATTACAACAGAATAACGTAATAGGTTATCTCTTTGTTATGATAGAATGCTTCATTTATGGCTACTCAAAGGTTACCATTACAATGTAACTTCGTAAATAAAATATTACTTTTTTCATGAGAAAAGAAAGTTTTGTTCAATGCTATTCGAAGCGAATATGCCCCGTGCTACCACTACAACGTAATGTTGTGTTACTTTTTCTTTCTCACTCTTCTCTACGCTCCTTTTCATCTTATCTTTTTACCTTTCTTTTTTAGACTTTCTTTCTTTTTCGTCATATTTTTATTGTCTTAACTTTTTCTTCTAGTTTTTCTTTATTTTTTTTCTTTATTTCTTTTCTCGGTCATTCTGCCTCCGTCTCTTTCGTCTTCGCTCTATTTTCTTTCGTCTCCCAACATATTTACCGTGCAATCTCTCTCTCTCTCTCTCCTTTTTTTTCTTGCAACTATTACCATTTCAACTTCTTCTTTTGCTTACTGTTAGATTTATCATCATCTTCGTCTACCACTGTATTTTTTCATCTTTGAGTTTATTTATTTGACACCAGGCGGCGCTTTCTTTGACTTGATAGAACGCAAGAAGAGAATTCTCAAGTTCGTCAAAGTTATTTTGATACCTTTAGCCAGATTCTGATTAAAACGAAAACGGAAAAATCTTTTTCAGTACTTTTTCTTTCATTTATTTTCGTTTATTTTTCATTTTTCTTATTACCCAATGAACACGTTTTTAATATTTGTACAACACTTACAAGCTGTTTTCAGATGTCGTCTGCCATCCTCTGTCATTATATCAAGGAAATAACATTGTCTAGAACAAGCATATTCTATGAGGTAATTATGCTCTCAACACAGCCACGTATATACGTACAATCACAAAAGGCCTACAGCAACAACCAGTGAACATAGACGGCAAGGGCACGTTCAACAAAAATCGCTCCATGCTAACACGTCGAATCGTTCAAGAGACAGACGCGTTAATAGACAGAATAACACCGGGGAAGACAATTCAAATGGAATTCAATGGCCCTTGGTAGAAAAATGGCTAGCAATAATAGACAAATCCCCACAAGTTGATGAAAATTTTCCAACCAATTTATCTCTCACTACAGATTCTAATCAATATATTATAAACTCAGAGTGCCCATTATGATGCAAAATTCTCGCAGATTCGCTAACGAAGCACATTCGACCCTCATTGGGTGCGCAACAATTTTTAATCATGTGTCAGACTAAAATAACCTTAGAAAAATATCATTTTGCCTAGATATATCTTTTTTCTAATCAATCTTCGTCTTCAAAATTTAATCAACTTTTTCGCAAATGGTGGGCCAAAAGAAGGCTTACAGTTGTTTCACAATTTGTTTCACGTTTGAAAGCGGATCGTTGGTTTATGTGTTGTTAAATTAGGAACACGTGCGTTTATTCCTGCTAGAAGGTTCACTACAAGAACATGGCGGACTTAGTGATTGAATCCACCACAAAGAAGCGTAAAAAAACAAGATCGATATATATATATATATATATATATATACAAACAAGTATATGTATTAAACACAATTTTACAATGGACATAGACATTTGTGTTTGTGTGTGAACGTAAAGAGTTTGTATTTTGGTGAATGTTCGTACGTACGTGTATGTGTGTATAATGTTCATGTCATCTCCCACAAACGGGAAGACGCAATCTTCTGCGAGAGCTTACATTGTAGACGTGTTCGCTGAAAATGAAAAAATGAAAAAGAAAACTGGGCAATAAGTCGCTCAGTGTAGGGAGAGCGTGTCCTAGTGAACAACTTGGAAATTAAGAAAGAGTTAACTCCGACAACATCACAGCTCAATACCGGAGCTAACTTAGTCAAACTGTTTCTCCAGCAAGATTGAGCAACTCCCTATTATTCTTTGGCAGTACGGAACAAACCTTAACCAAACCCTTTCACAACATTGGTTCGGAAGAAAGTGCAGCATTGAATGATCACTAAGTTCACTTGACCAATGGATTTCTTTTTTGGAGGTGGAGTAAAGAACAAGGTTCATGAGAGAAATCCCCACACATTGGACAATTTAAAAGAGTACATCTCGGAAATATTTATTAATATTGATGCAGATTGGGATATGTGTCATGCTGTGTGCCACAATGTTCTGGAGAGATTCTCAAAGAGTGTTGCGCTAAAAATGTAAGTAAAACGTTAGAGAAATGTAGATAAACAGATTTGAACAAATATGAATGTAACAAATAAATAAATAAATAAATATTGTAATAGAATGTTAGAAAAATTACAATGCATACTTACTTTTGAAGGGACGCTGCACAGAGGGACTATATGTCAATTACAGATAGAAAGCCCAGTCTGCTATGCTATGTAGACCATAATTGGTGGAAAATAGATTGGCTTAATACTCCCCACCCGCCAGGACATTTATGCGAATGTTAATGCAACAAAATCTGCGGCCAACTCGGCTCCCCGAATTCTGTTTTCGATTTGCTAAGCAATGTATTAAGAAACAGGAAGGTATCTCAAGAAAAAAGAAAAGAAAATAGTACTGGAGTTACTCAATCAGCTGCAAGATTTAGAAGTCAAGATGTCTGTCCGAACCTAGATTCCTTAGGCAGGTAAGTTAGCAGTTGACTGAGATTTTTTGCCAACCAGTTGACATACCTCCTCTCGGTCATCTTCTACAGATAGATAGATAGATAGATAGGAACAGAATGATATATATATATATATATATATATATATAGATAGGAAAAGAATGAGATAGATAGATACATACATACATAGATAGGAACAGAATGATATATATATATATATATATATAGATAGATAGATAGGAAAAGAATTAGATAGATAGATACATACATACATAGATAGGAACAGAATGATATATATATATATATATATATATATATATATATATAGGAAAAGAATGAGATAGATAGATAGAATGAATGAATGAGATTGACTGGGATAGATAAAAGTAGACTATAGATATATATATATATATATATATAGAGAGAGAGAGAGAGGGGGGGAGAGACTTGATAGAATATATGTACAGGGCGGTTTCATAGTTTCATGATTTTGATCTAATTTATTAAAATCATAACTTCGGCGAACTATTCTTTCAGTAAAATGAACACCTCCCCATTATGCTCTGGCAGTAAGGGACATGCCTTAACCAAACCTTTCCACGGCGTTGATTCAGGACAACATTTAATGGCCACTACCTTGACCAGACCTAACACCAATGGATTTCTTTTTTGGAGGTGGAGTAAAGAACAAGGTTCATGAGAGAAATCCCCACACATTGGACAATTTAAAAGAGTACATCTCGGAAGTATTTATTGATATTGATGCAGATTGGGATATGTGCCGTGCTGTGTGCCACAATGTTCTGGAGAGGTCCTCAAAGAGTGTTGTAATGTTGAAGGAAGACATTTTGAACACTTAAGAGATTTAACTGTTCTAAAAAAAAATAAGTAAATTGTTAAACAAATGTACATCATCAGTTGAGAACAAATATGTTTTAACAAATAAATATAAATGTAATAAAATGTTTTTAAAAATTGTGAAGGGCATCCGTACTAAGTGTAAACCTACTTTTGGCTCACACTGTATGCTAGGCCCCACGTAAAGAAATAAGGATAAAAATTACGAAAATAATTATTAGCATAGTTTATACTTCGATCACTTTTTTAAAATCATTAAAAAAATATTATTTTTAAGTCGATTTAGAAGCAGCCTCCATTTTTAGTATCGATACGACGTTCAATAGGTCTTCGGCTTTTACAGAGTTTATGCTAAGAGAATTAGAATACTTGCAAATATTTTAAAAAGCTGTGGAGAGCCATTTTCACCATCATGCTGAAAACGCTCCGTTTATTTTTAAACAGTATTTTATTTTCGTCTATCAAACTGAATATTCGAGAAATCTTATTAACGAAGAATGCGTCCTCCGGGATATTTTTTTTTAACAGGGGCGTAGCTGGTGTTTTTCACGCCCGAGGCGGCCCTCAAGTTTCCGCCTCTTCCGAGAAGGAATACAATGCACATTAACCCCTTAAAGTTTATACACACACACACACACACACACACACACATATATATATATATATATATATATATTTATATATATATATATATATATATATATACGGTCAACGACGAAATTATTCGTACACCCATCAATTTTTAATATTTTTATCCATTTCTCAGAATCTAATGCCCGTATGATGCCGGGTTTTTTTCCCGTGTTTCTGTTAACGTAGCATTTATAACTCCTCGCTGATAAATTATGCAATAAAAATACAATTGTGTTTGTTTATTTATATTTAAATGAAACTGGGGATGTGTGGAAAAAAAAACGAAGACATTACTTCTTTCTTTCTAAATCAAGAAAACTTTAAAAACGTTTTACGATATTAAAAGAAAGATAACTTGTTTTTGTTTATATACGCTCTGTTTTATTTTTTTTAAAAAAAACACATTGTACTTTTATTTCATAATTTATCAGTATTTTTAAAAATATTTATTTCAATTCTAACAAGTAAGGAGTCATAAATTAAATGCCACTTTAACAGAAACACGGTTCGTTTTTTCGTTTAACAATGTAAAAAAAATGCAATGTCTTTTTAAATTATTTTGTTTTATGTAATTGAAGTAGTAGACTAAGAAATAAAAGTTTGATAAAAATAATTTCACTTTTAAAAATTGAAATAAATGTTATCATACTTTTAATTCTTTGTCTATTTGGCTTAATAAAACTTCAACTATTTAAACAAAAAATAAAACATTGCATCGTTTTACTACTGCGAAAAATTGTAAATTGAAAAATTTTAAAAATTCCTATTTTTGAACATTAAATAAAGATTCTGCACTTAAAAAATATACTAATTTTCATTTTCTTTCTTTCTTTTTTCGATATTTCTGAAAAAAAAAATGGGAATGCATGTGATATCCTTAAAGCATTGGAATTATTTCAATTTATCTATCTATTTTATAAGTAACGATTTTTATATCCGTATTAAAACTAGACTTATGATATGACAAAAAAAAAACGATTAGTTCACTTAATTTTTTTCACTAACAGTTCACAGACATGAAAAATCAAAATCAAAGAACTGGCGCCAAAATCTGGACTTCTCACAGGTGTGAAAAAACTGGATTCTCTAAATTCACATCAAGCGCTTGAAAAATGGTCAATTTTTTTTTCATACCTTTTGCTCACGTCTTGTAAGTGCGGTCTATCCCCATCAGCTGACAGCGCATTTTGGAGACAATTTTTTTTTATTGCTGGCTGGCTTTGAGCCAGCCATATTAAGGACAAATTGGCTTCATTTGAACCCTATCTTTTTCCTCATCGCTGCTTTTTTATTCCAAAATTATTGAAATTATACTATTTTTTTTTCTTTTCTGAAAACTAACCGCAGACCAAAAGTGCCGGCCGTGGCGGACAAACCCTGGCTACGCCACTGATCTTTAATATGATTTCTCGTATGTTCAGGCCGGTAGACGAAATAAAAACATGTTTAACAAGTAAACGGAGCGTCTACTCAAATATGGGTATCCACTAAAAATATCGTCAAAAGCAATATAAATATGCCAGATTAAAAAAAAAAATGAATATCCATTATTTTTGTTTTTTGAAAAAAAATTATATATATTGTGTATTTGGACAGCAATCCCTCTTTTATATCAGTTTTGTGAAAAACGACTGATATTATTTTTTTTTTTCATTTTGTGAACATAAATTGTGTAGAAATTGTCCGAATATTCTGTATGTCCGAACGCTTTCGGCTATTCCTTTAGCCATTTCAAGGATGATTTTTTGGAATTTTTTTTATTTATGTATCTAGAGTTACAGGGATGTTTTATTTTCCAAACACGGTCAGCACATTCTGGCTGTGTTCATAGCTGATGTTATTTAGTGTTGGCTGTTACTGTTTTCTTCGTAATGCTTCCATTATTTTTAGTCTGTTTTATATCTGCATGAGGCTATTATATTAATATTACCAACGAGTATATTGCGGATGGAGTTTGGTAGGCCTCCATGTGTATTTAAATGAGACCTAATTGAGCTATGGTCAGAGAAATGTAATGTGAGTCTTCTTGTTAGACATGTTGTAGTATATCCAATATATTTATGAATCTTGTCTGATAAGGAACACAGTTCCTTAAGTGAGATATCAATTCGTAACTAAGATTGATTCATTTTAGTTCGGATCTTGCAGGCGCGCTATTGTTGTTCACAATGAGGTTAGCAGTTTTTTTTTATAGTAGATAATGTAATTTTCTTGTTTTTCTCAAGAGAAGTTGTATATTTCTTTATCATGTTTCTATGGAAAGGTTAATCCTGTTTATAGTTGCCGTGCATTTGATTTTTATAGATAATGCTAATATTATTGTTCTTATCTGTATGTTAAGTGTTGCTATTGGTTACTTTAGAAAGAAGACGTCTAATTTGGCGCTCTATGATATAAAGAGAGAGCGAGAGAGAAAATGACCGATAAATAATTTTTTAAGGGTTTCACTCCGAGCAAGACGATAATGCATTTAAGACGCCAGGGTTTACTGAGAAGACAGTTCAGGAGAAAGGACAATAAAAGAACAGATTTCAGAAAAAGGAAGATGGCGATTGACGTTGCATTTAAAAGTTTGAAGACCGTAGGTATTAGTGAAGCAGCAAACCAATTAGAATTAGCAGTAAACTATTTGACTAGAAATTATGGTTACATTTAGCTTAAAACAATGGGACCTAGTTGTCAATCTAGTACCCGAATTTAAATGCTTACGGTCGAGCTACGAAAGAAGCGAGATCATTATAACAATTGCCATGAAAATATTTATAGAAAAGACAGAAGGATGCCACGGTGGTGGGAAAGTGACTGAGGGCGAGATGCCAGGTTAGAACTGATAATGTCACAGACCTATTTTTGGCTTTTGTTGAGACTGTCAAGATATATTGCAGTATTTCAAGACCAGATATGGTAGCAATATTCAATGTGCCGTCGAATGCTAAATTTATAAATATGAAAAATGTGTTCTAACGTGAAAGTTGCGAACAAAAAGTTGAAATACTGCCCTGGAGGTTAGCATCAGCCATGCTGGCGGAAGGCAAACATGATTGTCAATGTTTATTAAAGTTAGCAGTTTCGTTTGAAGCCATCAAACATTTATAAGCCATTTCTTGCCCCAGTTAACAACTGACTGTAGATCATTTCGAGAGCAGTTGACAGTTCTTCTTTGTCGGATGTATCTGAATTATTATTAAGACAGAGATAAAGTTAGTTGAAAAAAGAGAGGAGAGACGGATATAGGAAGAATGAAGATTAATTAAGTAAAATAAATTAAACAAACACGAGAAACGAAACAAATAATATCTGTGGCATTCATTACTGAAGTGTTATATTATAGACATAACACGAAACATCAATAAACTCGATTGCCACGTGACATCAAATAAATATGAAGTGATTGGCGATGCTTGTGGTTGTTATGTTGATACTGAGTTCAGAAATTAATTTAATTCCGTGGCTTTGTTCATATAAAATAATTCTATTAAATAATGGCTGCCAATCTTTATTTTTCTTTTTATTATTAAATATAGTTTCGTTTTTGGCTTCCTTTTTTAACTTTTTCCTTTTGCCTATTCTGTCTTTATCTTTTTTTGTTTTGTTTTTTTTGCATTCAGCTTCGGCAATTTCCTGTAAAAATAGATTTTTAGTCTTCATTTTTTTCTCTTTTCTGTTTCACTCCCATAATCCTTTTCGTTGTTTCACATTTTATGTTTATATTATTTTCGTTTTATCTACGTTCTTTATTTCATTCTTTCTTTCTTATTTACTTATGACCTGATTTCTTAAAACCGTTTTTTAAGATGCTTCATTCTCGTCTTCTTTCTTTCTTCCTTTTATTCATGTTTATTTATACACTTTTGCACTAATATTTTTCTCCTATTCTTTCTCCTTTTCTTTCTTATTTCTTTTTTCCTTAATTATGATCTGTTTTCTCAGAATCCATTTTAAGATGCTACACTCTTGCCTCCATTATTTTTACTTTTTCTTTCTTTTTTCATTCACTTACCATTAATTCCTTTATTTCTTTCTTTCTTTCTTTAATTCGTTCTTCATTCCATCCTTCTTTACTTCCTTTTTAAAATGCTACACTCCCACACTCTTTCTTCCTTGATTATATTTCTACTCTTATTTATTTCCTTCGTTTTTCTTACGGTTTCTCTTTCGGTATTATTCTTGTTTCATTTTCTTTTTATCTACTTCACTTTTACTACGAATCCTAATTTCTTTCTTTCTTTGTTTAGCTCGTTTTTTCTTTCTTCCTTTTTCATTCTGCATGCCTTCCAACTATGATTTTCCCATTTTCATTTCTTTAATCGAACCTTTTTATTTTTATTTACGTCTCATCATTTCTCTTTCACTGTCTGCAACCGTTTCTCTCCCCTCTCTCTCATTCTCTCACTATCTCTCATTAAAAATTAATAATTTCTACACTTTCTTCCATGTATCTCTTTACCCATACAATATACTATCAAACGCAGTCTTCTCTGTCTTTCTAGGTTCCCTCTTCCCAATCTAGGTTCCCACTTCCCAATCTAGGTTCCCACTTCCCAATCTATGTTCTCCTTCCCAATCTAACTTCTCTTCTCAACCTGATCACTCTTCTCAACCCCAATCATTCTTCTCAACTTGTTCAGTCATCTCGACCTTTCTCCCTGATCACTCTTCCCAACCTGATCAGTCATCTCAACCTGTTCACAATTCCTCCAATCTTGTTCTCACTTCCCAATCTACTTTCCCACTTTCCAATCTACTTTCCCTCTTCCCAATCTATGTTCTCCCTTCCCAATCTAACTTCACTCTTCTCAACCTGATCACTCTTCTCAACCTGATCACTCTTCTCAACCTGATCACTCTTCTCAACCTGATCACACTTCTCAACCTGATCACTCTTCTCAACCTGATCACTCTTTTCAACCTGATCACTCTTCTCAACCTGTTCAGTCATCTCAACCTGTTCACAATTCCCAATCTACTTTCCCACTTCCCAATCTACTTTCCCTCTTCCCAATCTATGTTCTCCCTTCCCAATCTAACTTCACTCTTCTCAACCTGATCACTCTTCTCAACCTGATCACTCTTCTCAACCTGATCACTCTTCTCAACCTGATCACTCTTCTCAACCTGATCACTCTTCTCCACCTGATCACTCTTCTCCACCTGATCACTCTTCTCAACTTGTTCAGTCATTTCAACCGGTTCACAATTCCCAATCTACTTTCCCTCTTCCCAATCAATGTTCTCCCTTCACAATCTAACTTCACTCTTCTCAACTTGTTCAGTCATCTCAACCTGTTCACACTTCCCAATCTACTTTCCCACTTCCCAATCTACTTTCCCTCTTCCCAATCTAGGTTTCCCCACTTCCCAATCTACTTTCCCTTCCCAATCTACTTCCCACTTCCCAATCTACATTCCCATTTCCCAATCTATGTTCTTCTTCCCAATCTAACTTCACTCTTCTCAACCTGATCACTTTTCTCAACCTGATCCCCACTCTTCTCAACCCTGTTCACTCTTCCCAATCTTGTTCAGTCATCTCAATGTTCACAATTCCCCCTTTCCCACTTCCCAATCTACATTCCCTCTTCTCCAATCTGTATGTTCTCCCTTCCCAATCTAACTTCCCTCTTCTCAACCTGATCACTCTTCTCCACCTGATCACTCTTCTCCACCTGATTCTCCTTCTCCACCTGATCACTCTTCTCAACCTGATCACTCTTTTCAACCTGATCACTCTTCTCAACTTGTTCAGTCATCTCAACCTGTTCACAATTCCCAATCTACTTTCCCTCTTCCCAATCTATGTTCTCCCTTCCCAATCTAACTTCACTCTTCTCAACCTGATCACTCTTCTCAACCTGATCACTCTTCTCAACCTGATCACTCTTCTCAACCTGATCACTCTTCTCAACCTGATCACTCCTTCTCAACCTGATCCCAATCTCTTCTCCCTTCCCCTCTTCCCAATCTGATCACTCTTCTCAACCTGATCCCAATTTTCAACCTGATCTCCTTCTCAACTTGTTCTCAATTCCCAATCTACCTTCCCACTTCCCAATCTGTGTTTCCCCTTCTTCCCAATCTACTTTCCCTCTTTCCAATCTTCTTTCCTCTTTCCAATCTATCTACTTTCCCTCTTCCCAATCTATGTTCTCCTTCCAAATCTAACTTCACTCTTCTCAACCTGTTCCTCTTCTCAACCTGTTCAACTCCTTCCCTCTTCCCAATGATCACTCTTCTCAACTTCATCACTCTTCTCAACTTATTCAATCATCTCAACCTGTTCCCAATTCCCAATCTCCTTTCCCTCTTCCCAATCTACTTTCCCTCTTCCCCCTCTATGTTCTCCCTTCCGAATCTCCTTTCACTCTTCTCAACCTGATCACTCTTCTCAAATTATTCAGTCATCTCAACCTGTTCTCTTTCCCAATCTACTTTCCCACCCTTCCCAATCTACTTTCCCTCTCCCAATCTATGTTCTCCCTTCCCAATCTAACCAATCTTCTCAACCTGATCCTCTTCTCAACTTGTTCAGTCATCTCAACCTGTTCCCCAATCTATGTTCCTCTTCCCAATCTATGTTCTCCCTTCCCAATCTAACTTCACTCTTCCCAACCTGATCCCTCTTTTCAACCTGATCACTCTTCTCAACCTGATCCCTCTTCTCCCAACCTGTTCAGTCATCTCAACCTGTTCACAATTCCCAATCTACTTTCCCACTTCCCAATCTACTTTCCCTCTTCCCAATCTATGTTCTCCCTTCCCAATCTAACTTCACTCTTCTCAACCTGATCAAACTTCTCAACATGATCACTCTTCTCAACTTATTCAGTCATCTCAACCTGTTCACAATTCCCAATCTACTTTCCCTCTTTTCAATCTACTTTCCCTCTTCCCAATCTATGTTCTCCTTCCGAATCTAACTTCACTCTTCTCAACCCTGATCCTCTTTTCAAATTATTCAGTCATCTCAACCTGTTCAGTCATCCCAATCTGTTTCCCCACTTCCCAATCTACTTTCCCTCTCCCCATTCTATGTTTCACCCTTCCCAATCTAACTTCACTCTTCTCAACCTGATCACTCTTCTCAACCTGATCACTCTTCTCCACCCTGATCACTCTTCTCAACCTGATCACTCTTCTCAACCTGATCACTCTTCTCAACCTGTTCTCTCTTCTCCAACCTTTCCCTCTTCTCAACCTGTTCACAATTCCCAATCTACTTTCCCACTTCCCAATCTACTTTCCCTCTTCCCAATCTATGTTCTCCCTTCCCAATCTAACTTCACTCTTCTCCACCTGATCTCTCTTCTCAACCTGATCACTCTTCTCAACCTGATCACTCTTCTCAACCTGTTCAGTCATCTCAACCTGTTCACAATTCCCAATCTACTTTCCCACTTCCCAATCTACTTTCCCTCTTCCCAATCTATGTTCTCCTTCCCAATCTAACTTCACTCTTCTCAACCTGATCACTCTTCTCAAATTGATCACTCTTCTCAACCTGTTCACTCTTCTCCACCTGATCACTCTTCTCCACCTGATCCTCTTCTCCATCCTGATCACTCTTCCCAACCTGATCACTCTTCTCAACCTGTTCAGTCATCTCAACCTGTTCACATTCCCAATCTACTCCCCCTTCCCAATCTACTTTCCCTCTTCCCAATCTATGTTCTCCTTCCCAATCTAACTTCACTCTTCTCAACCTGATCACTCTTCTCCAACCTGATCACTCTTCTCAACCTGATCACTCTTCTCCACCTGATCACTCTTCTCCACCTGATCACTCTTCTCCACCTGATCACTCTTTTCAACCTGATCACTCTTCTCAACCTGTTCACAATTCCCAATCTACTTTCCCTCTTCCCAATCTATGTTCTCCCTTCCCAATCTAACTTCACTCTTCTCAACCTGATCACTCTTCTCAACCTGATCACTCTTCTCCACCTGATCACTCTTCTCAACCTGATCACTCTTCTCAACCTGATCACTCTTCTCAACCTGATCACTCTTCTCAACCTGTTCAGTCATCTCAACCTGTTCACAATTCCCAATCTACTTTCCCACTTCCCAATCTACTTTCCCTCTTCCCAATCTATGTTCCTCTTCTCCTTCCCCAATCTAACTTCACTCTTCTCCACCTGATCACTCTTCTCCACCTGATCACTCTTCTCCACCTGATCACTCTTCTCAACCTGTTCAGTCATCTCAACCTGTTCACAATTCCCAATCTACTTTCCCCACTTCCCAATCTACTTTCCCTCTTCCCAATCTATGTTCTCCCCAATTTCCAATCTAACCCTTCACTCTTCTCAACCTGATCAAACTTCTCAACATGATCACTCTTCTCAACTTATTCAGTCATCTCAACCTGTTCACAATTCTCATTCCTCTTTTCAATCTACTTTCCCCACTTCCCAATCCCAATCTACTTTCCCTCTTCCCAATCTATGTTCTCCTTCCCAATCTAACTTCACTCTTCTCAACCTGATCAAACTTCTCAACATGATCCTCTTCTCAACTTATTCAGTCATCTCAACCTGTTCACAATTCCCAATCTACTTTCCCACTTCCCAATCTACTTTCCTCTTCCCAATCTATGTTCTCCCTTCTCAATCTAATCAAACTTCTCAACCTGATCACTCTTCTCAAATTATTCAGTCATCTCAACCTGTTCACAATTCCCAATCCAACTTTCCCTTCCCAATCTACTTTCCTCTCCCCCAATCTATGTTCTCCTTCCCAATCTAACTTCACTCTTCTCAGCAGTCAACCTCAACCTGATCCTCTTCTCAACTTGTTCAGTCATCTCAACCTGTTCACAATTCCCAATCTACTTTCCTCTTCCCAATCTATGTTCTCCTCCCAATCTAACTTCACTAACCTTCACTTCTTCTCAACCTGATCACTCTTCTCAACCTGATCCTCTTCTCCTGTTCACCTGATCACCAATCTTCTCAACCTGATCCTCTTCTCAAACCTGATCACCTGTTCAGTCATCTCAACCTGTTCAGTCATCTCATTCCCAATCTATTTTCCCTCTTCCCAATCTATGTTCTCCCTTCCCAATCTAACTTCACTTTTCTCAACCTGATCACTCTTCTCAACCTGATCACTCTTCTCAACCTGATCACTCTTCTCAACCTGATCACTCTTCTCAATCCTGTTCAGTCTCCTCAACCTGTTTTCCCAATTCCCAATCTACTTTCCCACTTCCCAATCTACTTTCCCTCTTCCCAATCTATGTTTCTCCCTTCCCAATCTAATTCACTCTTCTCAACCTGATCAGTCATTTCAACCTGATCACTCTTTTCAACCTGATCCTCTTCTCAACTTATTCAGTCATCTCCAACCTGTTCACAATTCCCAATCTACTTCTCCCTAATCTTCCCAATCTGATCTTTCCCTTCCCAATCTATGTTCCCAATCTCCTTCCCTTCCCAATCTAACTTCCCTCTTCTCAATCTGATCACTCTTCTCAATCTTTTCAGTCATCTCAACCTGTTCACTCTTCCCAATCTACATTTCCCTCTTCCCAATCTCTCAACCTGTTCTCCCTTCCCAATCTAACTTCCCTCTTCTCAACCTGATCACTCTTCTCAACCTGATCCCTTCCCTTCTCAACCTGATCACTCTTCTCAACCTGATCACTCTTCTCAACCTAAACCTGATCACTCTTCTCAACCTGATCACTCTTCTCAACTTGTTCAGTCATCTCAACCTGTTCACAATTCCCAATCTATGTTCTTTCCCAATCTTCCCAATCTGCTTTCCCTCTTCCCAATCTATGTTCTCCCTTCCCAATCTAACTTCACTCTTCTCAACCTGATCACTCTTCTCAACCTGATCACTCTTCTCAACCTGATCACTCTTCTCAACTTGTTCAGTCATCTCAACCTGTTCACAATTCCCAATCTACTTTCCCACTTCCCAATCTACTTTCCCTCTTCCCAATCTATGTTCTCCCTTCCCAATCTAACTTCACTCTTCTCAACCTGATCACTCTTCTCAACTTATTCAGTCATCTCAACCTGTTCACAATTCCCAATCTACTTTCCCACTTCCCAATCTACTTTCCCTCTTCCCAATCTATGTTCTCCCTTCCCAATCTAACTTCACTCTTCTCAACCTGATCACTCTTCTCAACCTGATCACTCTTCTCAACTTGTTCAGTCATCTCAACCTGTTCACAATTCCCAATCTACTTTCCCTCTTCCCAATCTATGTTCTCCCTTCCCAATCTAACTTCACTCTTCTCAACCTGATCAAACTTCTCAACATGATCACTCTTCTCAACTTGTTCAGTCATCTCAACCTGTTCACAATTCCCAATCTACTTTCCCACTTCCCAATCTACTTTCCCCAATCTAATCTGTTCTCCCTTCCCTAATCTCTAATCACTCTTCTCAACCTGATCACTCTTCTCAACCTGATCACTCTTCTCAACCTGATCACTCTTCTCAACTTGTTCAATCTCAACCTGTTCACTCCCAATCTCTTTCCCCTTCCCAATCTAACTTCACTCTTCTCAACCTGATCCTCTTCTCAACCTCATCACTCTTCTCAACCTGATCACTCTTCTCAACTTGTTCAGTCATCTCAACCTGTTCACAATTCCCAATCTACTTTCCCTCATCCCAATCTATGTTCTCCCTTCCCAATCTAACTTCACTCTTCTCAACCTGATCACTCTTCTCAACCTAATCACTCTTTTCAACCTGATCACTCTTCTCAACTTATTCAGTCATCTCAACCCATTCCCAATTCCCAATCTTTTCCCCACTTCCCAATCTACTTTCCCTCTTCCCAATCTATGTTCTCCTTCCCAATCTAACTTCACTCTTCTCAACTTGATCACTCTTCTCAACCTGATCACACTCTCAACTTTTCAGTCATCTCAACCTGTTCACAATTCCTATCTACTTTCCCTCTTCCCAATCTATGTTCTCCCTTCCTAATCTAACTTTACTCTTCTCAACCTGATCACTCTTCTCAACCTAATCACTCTTCTCAACCTGATCACTCTTCTCAACTTATTCAGTCATCTCAACCTATTCACAATTCCCAATCTACTTTCCCTCTTCCCAATCTACTTTCCCTCTTCCCAATCTACTTTCCCTCTTCCCAATCTATGTTCTCCTTCCCAATCTAATTCACTCTTCTCAACCTGATCCTCTTCTCAACCTGATCACTCTTCTCAACCTGATCACTCTTCTCAACCTGATCACTCTTCTCAACCTGATCACTCTTCTCAACTTATTCAGTCATCTCAACCTATTCACAATTCCCAATCTACTTTCCCACTTCCCAATCTACTTTCCCTCTTCCCAATCTATGTTCTCCCTTCCCAATCTAACTTCACTCTTCTCAACCTGATCACTCTTCTCAACCTTATCACTCTTCTCAACTTGTTCAGTCATCTCAACCTGTTCACAATTCCCAATCTACTTTCCCTCTTCCCAATCTATGTTCTCCCTTCCCTGATTCTCAACCTGATCACTTTCTCTTCTCAACCTGAACTCTTCTCATTATTCAGTTCTCAACCTATCCCAATCTAACCCACTCAATCTCTTCTCCTCTTCCCATCACTCTTCTCCCAACTTATTCAGTCATCTCAACCTGTTCACACAATTCCCAATCTCAACCTTCCCACTTCCCAATCTACTTTCCCTCTTCCCAATCTATGTTCTCCTTCCCAATCTAACTTTACTCTTCTCAACCTTCTCAATCAATCTCTTCTCAACCTGATCACTCTTCTCAACTTATTCAGTCATCTCAACCTGTTCACAATTCCCAATCTACTTTCCCACTTCCCAATCTACTTTCCCTCTTCCCAATCTATGTTCTCCCTTCCCAATCTAACTTCACTCTTCTCAACCTAATCACTCTTTTCAACCTGATCACTCTTCTCAACTTATTCAGTCATCTCAACCTATTCAGTCATCTCAACCTATTCACAATCTAAATCTTTTTCCCACTTCCCAATCTACTTTCCCTCTTCCCAATCTATGTTCTCCTTCCCAATCTAACTTCACTCTTCTCAACCTGATCACTATTCTCAACCTGATCAATCTTCTCAACCTGATCACTTGTTCAACCTGTCATCTCAACCTGTTCACTCTTCCCAATCGATTCAGTCATCCAACTTCCCAATCTACTTTCCCACTTCCCAATCTACTTTCCCACTTCCCAATCTACTTTCCCACTTCCCAATCTACTTTCCCTCTTCCCAATCTGTTTCTCCCTTCCCAACCTAACTCACTCTTCTCTACCTGATCACTCTTCTCTACCTGATCACTCTTCTCAACCTGATCACTCTTCTCTACCTGATCACTCTTCTCAACCTGATCACTCTTCTCAACCTGATCACTCTTCTCAACCTGATCAATCTTCTCAACCTGATCACTCTTCTCAACCAGATCACTCTTCTCCACCTGTCCATTCAGTCATCCCAGTCTATTCACAATTCCCAATCTACTTTCCCACTTCCCAATCTACTTTCCCACTTCCCAATCTAGGTTCTCCTTCCCAATCTAACTTCCCATTCTCAATCTGATCCCTCTTCCCAATCTGTTCTCTTCCCAACCTGATCACTCTTTTCAACCTGATCACTCTTCTCAACCTGATCACTCTTCTCAACTTGTCCAGTCATCTCCACCTGTTCACTCTTCCCAATCTGATCACTCTTCTCAATCTCATGTTCTCTCTTCTCCATCTGATCACTCTTCTCTCCACCTGATCACTCTTCTCAACCTGATCACTCTTCTCAACCTGATCAGTCATCTCCACCTGTCCACAATTCCCAATCTTCCCACTTTCCCTCTTCCCCAATCTATGTTCTCCTTCCCAATCTAACTTTCCCTTTCTCAATCTGATCCCTCTTCCCAATCTGTTCTCCCTTCCCAACCTGATCACTCTTTTCCACCTGATCACTCTTCTCCACCTGATCACTCTTCTCAACTTGTCCACTCTTCTCAACCTGTTCACAATTCCCAATCCACCTTCCTCTTTCCAATCTGATTTCTTCTCCAATCTATGTTCTCCTTTCCAATCTAACTTCACTCTTCTCCACCTGATCACAATTCCCAATCTGTTCCCTCTTCCCAATCAATTTCCTCTTCCCCATCTAAGTTCCCATTTCCCAATCTCTTTCCCTCATCCCAATCTGTTCCCCTCCCCAACCTGTTCCCTCATTTCAATCCTGTTCCTCATCCCAATCCTGATCCCTCATCCCAACTTGTTCCCTCATCCCAACCTAAATTGCCTCTTCCCAATCTTTTTTCCTCTTCCCAATCTTTGGTCCCTCTTTCCAATCCCTTTCTCCTCTTTCCAATCTAAATTTCCTCTTCCAATCTAAATTTCCCTCTTCCCAATCTATGTTCTCCTTCCCAATATCTGATCCCTCTTCCCCAACCTGATCCTCTTCCCAATCTGTTCCCTCTTCCCAATCAATGTTCCTCTTCCCATCTAAGTTCACTTTTCCTAATCTCTGTTCCCTCATCCCAATCTCTGTTCCCTCATCCCAATCTCTGTTCCCTCATCCCAATCTAAATTGCCTCTTCCCATTCTTTGTTCCCTCTTCCCAATCTTTGGTCCCTCTTCCCAATCCCTGATCTCTCTTACCAATCTAAATTCCCTCTTCCCGATCTAAATTCCCTCATCCCAATCTCTGATCCCTCTTCCCAATCTCTGATCCCTCTTCCCAATATCTGATCCCTCTTCCCAATCTCTGTTCCCTCTTCCCAATCTCTGTTCCCTCTTCCCAATCTCTGTTCCCTCTTCCTAATATCTGTTCCCTCTTCCTAATGTCTGTTCCCTCATCCTAATCTATTTTCCCTCTTCCCAATCTAATTTCCTTCTTCCTAATCTCTGTTCTCACTTCCCAATCTAAATTCCCTTATCCCAATCTCTGTTCCCTCATCCGAATTTATGTTCTCTCATCCCAATATTAATTCCCCCTTCCCAATCTAAATTCCCTCTTCCCAATCTCTGTTCCCTCTTCCCAATCTCTGATCTCTCTTCCCAATCTCTGATCTCTCTTCCCAATTTCTCTCTCCCCAATCTTCCCTTCCCAATCTCTGATCTCTCTTCCCAATCTCTGATCTCTCTTCCCAATCTCTGATCTCTCTTCCCAATCTCTGATCTCTCTTCCCAATCTCTGATCTCTCTTCCCAATCTCTGATCTCTCTTCCCAATCTCTGTTCCTTCTTCCCAATCTCTGTTCTCTCTTCCCAATCTAAATTCCCTTATCCCAATCTCTGTTCCCTCCTCCGAATTTATGATCTCTCTTCCCAATCTATGATCTCTCTTCCTAATTTCTGTTCCCTCCTCCCAATCTAAATTCCTTCTTCCCAATCTCTGTTCCCTCTTCCTAATCCCTGATCTCTTTTCCAAATGTCTGTTCTTTCTTCCCAATGTCTGTTCTTTCTTCCCAATGTCTGTTCCCTCTTCCCAATGTCTGTTCCCTCTTCCCAATGTCTGTTCCCTCTTCCCAATGTCTGTTCCATCTTCCCCATCTCTGTTCCATCTTCCCAATCTCTGATCTCTCTTCACAATCTCTGTTCCCTCATCCTAATCTCTGTTCCCTCATCCGAATTTATGATCTCTCTTCCCAATCTATGATCTCTCTTCCTAATTTCTGTTCCCTCTTCCTAATCTAAATTCCCTCTTCCAAATCTCTGTTCTCTCATCCCAATCTCTGTTCTCTCATCCCAATCTCTGTTCTCTCATCCCAATCTCTGTTCCCTCCTCCTAATCCCTGATCTCTCTTCCTAATCTCTGTTCTCTCATCCCAATCTAAATTCCCTCTTCCCAATGTCTGTTCCATCTTCTCAATCTCTGATCTCTCTTCCCAATCTCTGTTCTTTCATCCTAAACTCTGTTCCCTCATCCTAATCTCGGTTCCCTCTTCCGAATCTAATTTCCTTCTTCCCAATCTCTGTTCTCTCTTCCCAATCTAAATTCCCTTATCCTAATCTCTGTTCCCTCATCCGAATTTATGTTCTCTTTTTCCCAATCTAATTTCCCTCCTCCGAATTTATGATCTCTCTTCCCAATCATCCTTCCCAATTTATGTTCCCCTCTTTTCTGTTCCCCAATCTAAATTTTATCCCTCTCCTCAGAATTTATGATCTCTTCCCAATCTATGATCTCTCTTCCCAATCTATGATCTCTCTTCCCAATCTCTGATCTCTCTTCCCAATCTCTGTTCCCTCTTCCTAATCTCTGTTCCCTCATCCTAGTCTCTGTTCCCTCTCCTTCTGTTCCCTCTTCCCAATCTAATTTCCTTCTTCCCAATCTCTGTTCTCTCTTCCCAATCTAAATTCCCTTATCCCATTTCTGTTCCCTCCTCCGAATTTATGATCTCTCTTCCCAATCTTTGATCTCTCTTCGTAAATTCTGATCCCTCTTCCCAATCTCTGATCCCTCTTCCCAATCTCTGTTCTTTCTTCCCAATCTCTGATCTCTCTTCCCAATCTCTTTTCCCTCTTCCTAATCTCTGTTCTTTCTTCCCATGCTAATTTCCTTCTTCCCAATCTCTGTTCTCTCTTCCCAATCTAAATTCCCTTATCCCAATCTCTGTTCCCTCCTCCGAATTTATGATCTCTCTTCCTAATTTCTGTTCCCTTTCCCCAATCTAAATTCCCTCTTCCCAATCTCTGTTCCCTCTTCCCAATCTCGGTACATTCTTCACAATCTGTGTTCCCTCTTCCCAATCTGTGTTCCCTCTTCCCAATCTGTGTTCCCTCTTCCCAATCTCTGTTCCCTCTTCCCATTCTAATTACTCTCTTCCCAATCTAAATTCCCTTATCCCAATCTCTGTTCCCTCCTCTGAATTTATGATCTCTCTTCCCAATCTCTGTTCCCTCATCCTAATCTCTGTTCCCTCATCCTAATCTCTGTTCCCTCATCCTAATCTCTGTTCCCTCATCCTAATCTCTGTTCCCTCTTCCCATTGTAATTTCCTTCTTCCCAATCTAAATTCCCTTATCCCAATCTCTGTTCCCTCATCCGAATTTATGATCTCTCTTCCTAATTTCTGTTCCCTCTACCCAATCTAAATTCCCTCTTCCCCAATCTCTGTTCCCTCTTCCCAATCTCAAACAATTCCTTTCTTCCTAATCTCTGTTCCCTCTTCCCAATCTCTGTTCCCTCTTCCCAATCTCTGTTCCCTCTTCCCAATCTCTGTTCCCTCTTCCCAATCTCTGTTCCCTCTTCCCATTCTAATTACTCTCTTCCCAATCTAAATTCCCTTATCCCAATCTCTGTTCCCTCCTCTGAATTTATGATCTCTCTTCCCAATCTATGATCTCTCTTCCCAATCTCTGTTCTTTCTTCCCAATCTCTGTTCTTTCTTCCCAATCTCTGTTCCCTCATCCTAATCTCTGTTCCCTCATCCTAATCTCTGTTCCCTCTTCCCATTGTAATTTCCTTCTTCCCAATCTAAATTCCCTTATCCCAATCTCTGTTCCCTCATCCGAATTTATGATCTCTCTTCCTAATTTCTGTTCCCTCTACCCAATCTAAATTCCCTCATCCTAATCTCTGTTCTCTCTTCCCAGTCTAAATTCCCTTATTTCAATCTCTGTTCCCTCCTCCTAATTTCTGTTCCCTCTTTCCAATCTAAATTCCCTCTTCCCAATCTCTGTTCCCTCTTCCCAATCTCTGTTCCCTCTTCCCAATCTCTGTTCTTTCTTCCCAATCTCTGTTCCCTCTTCCTAATCCGTGTTCCCTCTTCCCAATCTCTGATCTCCCTTCCCAATCTCTTTTCCCTCTTCCTACTCTCTTTTCCCTCTTCCTAATCTCTGTTCCCTCTCCCATTGTAATTTCCTTCTTCCCAATCTCTGTTCTCTCTTCCCAATCTAAATTCCCTTATCCCAATCTCTGTTCCCTCATCCGAATTTGATCTCTCTTCCTAATTTCTGTTCCCTCTTCCCAATCTAAATTCCCTCTTCCCAATCTCTGTTCCCTCTTCCCAATCTCTGTACATTCTTCAAATCTCTGTTCTTTCATCCCAATCTCTGTTCCCTCTTCCCAATTTATGAACTCTCTTCCCAATCTCTGATCTCTTCCCCAATCTCTGTTCCCAATTGTCTTCCCAATCTCAATGTTCCCTCTTCCCAATCTGTGTTCCCTCTTCCCAATCTGTCCCTTCCCAATCTTTGTTCCTCTATTCTAATTACCTCTTCCCAATCTAAATTCCCTTATCCCAATCTCTGTTCCCTCCTCTGAATTTATGAACCCCCAATCTAAATCTCTTATCCCAATCTCTGTTCCCTTCCCAATCTCTGTTCCTCATCCTAATCTCTGTTCCCTCTTCCCATTGTAATTTCCTTCTTCCCAATCTCTGTTCCCTCTTCCCAATCTAAATTCCCTCATCCTAATCTCTGTTCTCTCTTCCCAGTCTAAATTCCCTTATTTCAATCTCTGTTCCCTCCTCCTAATTTCTGTTCCCTCTTCCCAATCTCTGATCTCCCTTCCCAATCTCTTTTCCCTCTTCCTAATCTCTTTTCCCTCTTCCGAATCTCTGTTCCCTCTTCCCATTGTAATTTCCTTCTTCCCAATCTCTGTTCTCTCTTCCCAATCTAAATTCCCTTATCCCAATCTCTGTTCCCTCATCCGAATTTATGATCTCCCTTCCTAATTTCTGTTCCCTCTTCCCAATCTAAATTCCCTCTTCCCAATCTCTGTTCCCTCTTCCTAATCTCTGTTCTTTCTTCCTAATCTGTGTTCCCTCTTCCCAATCTCTGATCTCTCTTCCCAATCTCTGTTCTCTCTTCCCAATCTCTGTTCCCTCTTCCTAATCTCTTTTCCCTCATCCTAATCTCTGTTCCCTCTTCCCATTCTAATTTCTCTCTTCCCAATCTAAATTCCCTTATCCCAATCTCTGTTCCCTCCTCCGAATTTATGATCTCTCTTCCCAATCTCTAATCTCTCTTCCTAATTTCTGTTCCCTCTTCCCAATCTCTGTTCCCTCTTCCCAATCTCTGTTCTTTCTTCCTAATCTGTGTTCCCTCTTCCCAATCTCTTTTCTTTCTTCCCAATGTCTGTTCCCTCTTCCAAATCTCTGTTCCCTCATCCTAATCTGTTTTCCCTCTTCCTAATCTCTGTTCCCTTTTCCCATTGTAATTTCCTTCTTCCCAATCTCTGTTCTCTCTTCCCAATCTAAATTCCCTTATCCCAATCTCTGTTCCCTCCTCCGAATTTATGATCTCTCTTCCTAATTTCTGTTCCCTCTTCCCAATCTAAATTCCCTCTTCCCAATCTGTGTTCCCTCTTCCCAATCTGTGTTCCCTCTTCCCAATCTGTGTTCCCTCTTCCCAATCTAAATTCCCTTATTCCAATCTCTGTTCCCTC